CTCACCACTTTTTAGGTCTGTTTTGCCTACTTTAATGTCATTCTGTCAGTGAAGGAACTGGCTGGTCGCTTACACTGATGCTCTTTATCTTAAACGCACACCCCCTTTATGTATGATGTTCGTTCGGTTAGAAATAAACCTGCGAAGTATACTTGACCGCGCATTTGACCTACAGATATTGACCATCATCAACCTGGTCATCGTTTGGACGGTGACAACAGGGTAGCCACGTAGAAACAGAATGATTGCGCACAGTTCGATACCCTTGAGGTTATCCAAAAGGCATTTCCTGAAGCGAGGTGTCTCAGGTTGAATAAAGTTTCTGAATATTTATGGGTCGTCACAACGGACTGTGTATCACCCGTGCCCTGAAATCGGCGATTCCACCATGTGTTTCACGGTTGCTGGTGGGATTGTCTCTCTCTCCACAAACGACATATGAGCAACGGCAGCTTTGGTTTCCCGATCTTTTGCCGGCGCCTTCCTATTTCCTGTGTCTTCGGAACCTTGTGAATTTTAAGGGCTGTTGTAGTTCGCCTTTTCTTCTGGCTGACGGAAGCCGTTAGGGTAGACTTTGCACGGCTCGGAGCAGTGACCAAAAGTGGTCAATGAGGCAGGTTTAGTGGTGTCCGAGGTGCTCAGTAGCTTTGACCAACAAGTATTGCGTAACGGAATGTTCTGTCGGTGCAAACGTCTGACTACTTTATGCGTGACGGCGTTTGCCTTTTTCCCGACGCATGACAATAAGTCACTGGGTTTAGCTGTGGTTTGCGGAATTTTCGCACTGCATGTTGGTTTAATCTGACAGAGTCCCGCGAAGAATAAGCCATGTTACCTGGAGTACCCGGTAGGACTGCGACTCCCTTTTCCCAGTGACAGACACCAGCGGGTGGATTGTCGGCAGTGATGTAGCCTGCTGCAATGTCCTCGATCACGTCATTCAGGGCTTTAAGGAGCAAAGCATTGTAGTATAGAGCAATGCAAGCGAGGCGAGCTTGATTATCGTCTTCTCAATATCTGTCAACCTTTACACCCGCGCTGTAGATTTAGTACCAAGTTTCGCCGAGCGCGTCAACTTCCTAGCCTCGCGTTCATCACAGCTGAAAAAAGCGCCAACGGCAGGATAGCATTTCGCACTGGTCCGCTTGTTGGCCGGTATAACTTTCGTGATGCTAGCGATAACACATATCCCACCGTATAACAGCTAAAATTGTGACTGACTTTTAACAGTGACATTTCCCGTAAGCTGCAGTCGACACATCAAACGAAGACAACCGGGGTACCCCCGCCTCTTTGTTTAGCGCTACAAGCATGTGCGGGTGGAAAAAAGAGCTAAATTATACATCAGATTCAATCATAACACGACGGCCATAAAAATAATAACGACAAGTAGCCACACATGATAAGAACTGGGAACAACGGGAATAATTACCAGTAAGCTCGAAATAGACTTAGTGCAGTGTCACTTTAATTGATCGGCGATATCTTAGACGAAAGAAAAGTCGATAGTGACCAAATTTTGCTTCAGTGTTTATGAAACACGTGTGCACAAAATTTCAGCTAAAAGCTCGCGTAGTACTGTAGACCAAAAGGTCGAGTAACCCCATCAAGCTCAGGGACGCGTTTATAGGGTTTCATGGGGCACTTAGTGGTAAGTTACGGCATAAATTGCTTCTGCTCTCTGACGTTAGTAGAAATTCGTTTTTGCTCAAATTTAACTGAATTCATGCAGACGTTTGAATTACCGCGCGCATTTCAACGCTAACGTGTGATGGAATTTTCCGCTGCCTCGTTCAAACGTCCAGAGCTCCAGTCCCGACTTCTGTCAACACCAGCGGACCTAATAGCCGTAACGGAAACTTGGCTCTCCGACGACATAACCGACGGTGAAATCCAACTTCATCACATGTCAGTTCTCCGCTCTGACCGCGCAAACCCAGGTGGCTGTGCCGCACTGTACTATGAGATCTCCCTCAGTTGCAGCATGTTAACAAACCCTGCCCACCAGTCTCCAGACACCATGTAGTGCGAGATCGTACTAACCGCCAAACGCTGCAGCTGTCTTGGCATCATTTACCGCCCCCCAAACAACTCCACCGAGAAGGATGCACGACTACTGCACGACGTCCACCTTATGTTATCCCACAAGCGCACACACTTCCTTATCATGGGTGATTTCAACCTGCGCCGTCTATTTCACTCTGTCCCGTCTACCAACTCCTTCGCACCAGGCGTCATTGATCTTCTTCAGACGGCCCCGTTGTACGACCCCACGTATCAGCCGACCAGATTCCGATCCAACAACCAACCATCCCTGCGAGATCTCCTCCTCACTAACGAAGGACTGATGGTTGAGCACGTTGAGTAGGATGCCGATATGGGGCTTAGCGACCACTGCGTCCTCCGTTTCGATTTTATATGCTTCGCCGAAAAACTCGTCAGCACGCCAGCTTATACCAAACGCTAAACTGATTACGCAAAGTTGAACCCTATCATTTCCGCTAACAACTGGTTACCCGAGCCCCAATCGAGTGCCGCCAGCGTGTGGTCAAGCTTTTGAATAATACCCTACGTGAACTCTGCTCCACTACGACGACATGCAAAGAAGTTTCCAAAGGGAAGAGATGCCCAGCACTCATCCGAAGTCGTACACGGAAATGGATTGCCTCCAGGAACACGGTATGGAAAACTATCGCTCCCATCCAACGGCCACTCAGTGGGAATATTACCGATCCATCCGTAACCAATACGTCCATCTTGTACGAGAAGATAAGAGTGAGCATCAGCGGCAGCTTATGCGTAAATTTTCACTCAATCCCAAATCGTTGTACAGTCACGTCAACAGTCTTTGACAAGTCAAGCACGGTGTCACCGCATTGACGGCCCCCACAGAGCTCACGAAATCGGCTAACGAGGCAGCAGAAGTCCTGTGCCATCAGTACGCATCCACATTCTCCGTTCCATACATGCACACAACGACGGTACCTTCTTCAGTTTCACCCTTAACTTACCTGACGACTGTCCATTTCACTCCGGAGAAGGTCCTGGCGAAACTCAAATCCCTGCGGCTAACATCCTGTCCTGGCGCTGATGGTTTCCACCCACGGCGCTGCGAGCTTGCGCTGTAGCTCTAGCTTTACCCCTAGCGGAGCTGTTCACCCGCTTATTCTCGCAAGGCAGTTCCCAATGATTGGAAATATGGGACTATTACACCAATCTACAAAGGCGGTACTCGCCAATATCGGGCCAATTAACGACCGATAACTCTCCTATCTACGATCTCCGAAGTGATGAACTCGATCGTCGCAGACGCTTTAATGGACTACATGGAGGCACAGCAACTGCTCTCTGATTGCCAGCACGGTTTCCGGCGTCAACGGTCATGTCTTAGTAACCTGTTACTTGCCAGGGACAACTGGACGACTGCTGACGACTGTGGCCTAGAAACTCATGTTATATTCCTGGATTTCGCCAAAACCTTCGACAAGGTCGACCACAAGATTCTACTGCAGAAACTGTTGTCTTACGGCGTTTCAGGGGCCTTGATGGACTGGATCCGGAACCACCTACAAAACCGTACCTACTAAGTGCGCGTCGACGGAGCGTTGTATCCCGCATCCTTGCCACAAGCGAAGTTCCACAGGGGTCTGTTATCGGACCGCACCTCTTCTTAGCCTTCATTGACGACGTCACACCGCCAGTGGAGTCTTCGCTGCTGCTATACGCGGATGACGCGAAGCTGTGGTGCACAATTAATCTTCCGGACGATGCGCACGCACTTCAGACGGACCTCGACCGTCTACACCAGTGGTCCATAGAAAACAACCTTCCATTTAACACTTTGAAATGTCGCGTCCTTTATACCCACCCTTCTGCTTTTTCTCCTATATATTACCTTGGAGCGTTTATCCACCAGATCTTTTCGGCCGAAAGAGCCTTGGGCATCATTACCCAGACGAGTCCTTCCGTATCCGCTTCCTGCCGGAAAGCAGCTGCTGCTGCTAACCGCATGGTGGGAGTGCTGAAACGAGCCTTCGGTCAAATTGACCCCAGCAATTTCCACCTCCTCCTCAACGCTTTACTTCGACCCCACTTGGAGTTCGCTATTCAGGCTTGGAGCCCTTTGTTTTTGAAGGACCAACGCATACTCGAAGCCCCACAACGTCGAGCAACCAAATTGGTCCGAGGTCTCAAGAACCTAGATTATCCACAACTACTTCAGTGCCTGGGCTTCTACTCGCTTAAGTGCCGACGTCTACGGGGCGACCTGATCCTTGTATTCATGATCTTATCCAACCTTGGACATCCCTGTCGCCACCTACTCACACTGCACCAATCGGGCTCCCACATACGCTGCCACCCATTGAGGCTCGCACATCAGCACAGTCGGCTGAACTGCAGACGGCACTACTTCGCTTTGCGAACCTGCGGACCGTGGAATGCTCTGCTTGCCGATGTAATCTTGGCACCCACTGTAGCGGACTTTAAGACCCGCTTGGACTGTCATCTGGCCGAGTTACACCGCGATATTCCCTAATATGACTACCTTCTACTGGATGGAATTTCTTTCTTTTTTCTTCTACCTACTTTCTTTCCGAAGCCGTTTCGGAGGGCTTGGTGGGATGTCACTCTTTGAGCCGGCGTGTATTCTGTTTAATTGCCGCATAAGCCCGATGAAGATGCGGATAACACGCGAGTCCAACCCGCTATAAGATTGATTGTCCCTTTATTAGACAAGCCCCGAACTCTTTTCACCCTATGGGTTATGTAAAGCTCGAGCTTTTATTCCCATTAAATACAATGTTCCCATATATCTTACACGTAAACTTGAACGTACCGCCAATCCCTGAATTTCGTCAAAACTTATTCTGCTTTTTAATTACATGACATAACTTAGTTTGATGTAGGCTGGCGGTTACTGAAAGTTTGCATAAAAAGTTTACTTTTTGTTTAATTGACCTAAGGTCTCGCATTCTGCACCACCTTCCTCAGCTTTCTCGTGGACATCGATGGGTCGTGTGATACGCAGTCAGCGGAAGGGCGCAGGTGGTGTGTTCAAGGCTCATACAAAACACCGAAAGGGTCCCGCTCGCCTCCGCGCAGTGGATTATGCAGAACGCCACGGTTTCATCCGGGGGGTTGTGAAGGAAATAGTGCACGATCCCGGTCGAGGTGCTCCATTAGCCCGTGTCGCTTTCAGAGATGTTTACTCCTACAGAACAATTAAACAGCTGTTTATCGCTGCCGAAGGAATGCACACTGGCCAGTTTGTCTATTGTGGAAAGAAAGCTAAGCTGCAAGTAATGTGCATACCTATCCTTATTTTGAGATTGGTAACATTCTCCCCATAGGTGCCATGCCTGAAGGGACGGTTGTATGTAATCTTGAAGAAAAATGTGGTGATCGTGGACGATTGGCTCGAGCCAGTGGGAACTACGCCACCGTAGTTGCTCACAATCTCGACACCAAACGGACGCGAGTAAAGCTCCCTTCTGGTGCGAAGAAAGTTTTACCATCAGCTTGTCGCGCAATGGTTGGGCTCGTCGCCGGCGGGGGCAGGGTTGACAAACCAATCCTGAAGGCTGGCCGCGCGTACCATAAGTACAAAGCGAAACGACACTGTTGGCCTCGTGTCCGTGGTGTTGCTATGAATGTAAGTTCCCTCTAAAGTATCGCGTTAATTTGTTTGCTTTTTGCACCTTTATCTGCGCCTAGTGTCGCTTATCACACGCAACGCCCGCTGTTTTGGTCTGTCCCAATAACTTTTTGAGGTAGTTTGCTGGTTCTCAGGAAGATCCTTGGTATTGCTTTATCGATGAAGGGCAGTGCCTGCTGGCGCAGAACACGAACACCGGTCTATTACACAACAGCTGATCGTGAATCTTGGTGGTCAAAGCGGGCTGATGAGTTGGAAGCTTTGCATCAGCTGGCAAATTCTGCCGTCTATTTTGCATCATCAGGGTCACCGGTTACAATTCCCACGCTATCAGTCAGACGATTTGCGGATCATCATCATCATCATCATCAACAGCAGTACATCAGCCATTTGAACTGATGCTTCGCTGCCATACAACCATGAGGACCTATGAAATAAAGAATAAGAAGAGGGAGAGAAGAGGGACTTACCTGAAAACCTTAATGCCCTAAGCAAACATTCTGGGTCAAGGCGCCTACACCTTGTGTTAACAACATTCCGTCACAAACAGCTGGCTATCGTGCAAAGATAAGGCGGCATCGGCGAGACAGCTTCCTTGCGGCTTTCACTGCCACGCGTCATAATCAGCCATTACCCCGCAGATAACTCAGCACCAAACACACTTTAAACAGACAATCCAATTAGGAGACGGCAGCAGACGCGCCACTGGTGTCGGTTGCGAGCCATGTCCTGTAAAGTCTCGAGCCAAGCACAAGGTGAGTCACGTGGGCTCCAACCCGGAAGGCGAGACGGACCAACGGCACCCAGTTTGGTCGTCAGTGACTTCATTTCCCGCTGCCAAGTCAACTTCTGTCCACCTCGAGCCTTGCGCCATCAGACACCTGGTAGACTGAACAAGGCCCTCCTAGGTAAGCGGTGACCAGGCATGCGTAGCACGTGCCCGAGCCAACGCAATTTATTCAGTGCTATCTGTTGTTCTAGCGAGCTAGCATGATCATCACCACCTAGTACTCGCCTACGCACATCATCGTTGCGGACACGCTGGTGCCATCCGACACCAGCAATGCTTCGCAAACAACGATGATCAAAGACTTGAAGGCGCCTCAGATCTTCAGACCGAAGGGGCCAAGTCTCACTACCATAAAGCAGAACGGCCCTCACTGTGGCCTTGTATACACGGCCTTTCAGACGGAGGGAAACTCCCTTCTGTCGCCAAAGATGACGCAGGTTTAAGAAGGCAGCTCTGGCCTTTGCAATGCGTGAGCTCACGTCAGTTTCTATGCGCCCATCATTGCTGATGCAGCTGCCAAGATAATTGAATTGATCAACCATCTCGAGTTCCTCGTTAGCAAGCGTCAAGGGGTCATCGAGTGGCTGGTGGTCCTGCAGCAACACTTTGCACTTTGAAGGTGCGAAGTGCATACCAAATAATGGGACCACTCTGGATAGACTATTCAGGGTTGATTGTGCCGCCTCAACATTGTCGAACAGCAACACGATATCGTCCGCATAATCTAGATCAACTAACCGTTCACCAGGCAGCACTTCAACACCTACATCGTGAGATTCCGCAAGGGAACACTCCATGATAGAATCCACGACGAAATTGAACAAAAATGGGGAAATCGGACAACCCTGTCGAACGCCACTTGTAGTCGAAAAGCTATTCGATAGGGCACCATAGACCCTGACGCGGCCTCTAGTGTTCGAGTATAGAGCACGAAGGATGTTCACATATTTCGTGGGAACACCTTTTCGCGCAAGTATTTCGAACAGAATCGATCGATCGACTGAATCGAACGCACTCTTGAAATCGAGGAACACAGCTATTGTCGGTCTGCGGTATGCGTGGCGCTGCTCTAGCACCTGCCGCAAAGTAAATATATGGTCTATACAGCCACGTCCTGGGCGAAAACCGGCCTGCTCTTCTCTAATCCGAGATTCCCGTTCTGCAGTGAGACGACGAACGATAATCGAGGCCAGTAATTTTGTCACAACTGGCGTTAGGCTAATACCCCTGTGGTTCGCACAGTCTGTGCGACTGCCCTTCTTGTATATTGCCACTATAATCGATTCGCTCCAATTAGCCGGCACACTCTCTTCGTTCCAGATACGTTCGAATAGGGAGGTCAGTGCTTTGCAGAGGACCTCACCTCCATCCTTAAATAGTGCAGGTGGTAGGGAATCCGGGCCAGCGGCACGAAAACGATTGAGGGCTGTGATCGCGTTTCGGACCTCGGCCTCCGACGGAGGCTCTAAACTAACCGTCCATGGCTCGTCCTGCATCACCTGAGTAGGAAGAGGTCCGGGAGCAGGGGGCCAGCTGAACTGATGTTCAAAGTGCTCAGCCCAACGAGCCATACGGCGCTCATTATTGTGTATCAGCGCACCCGCGCTGTCCCTGATTGTCTCACTGACGCCTGGTTTCCTCGGACCAGTGGTGCGGATTAGCTGGAAGAGCTTCCGGTAATTGCCTACTGCTCCTGCCTCCTCCATTTCTTGAGCCCGACTGGTCCACCAGGCTTCCTTGTCAGCACGTAGGCTCCGCTTTAGTTCACGCCTTATAGCCCGTCTGGTCACATTGTGTTCAGAACCAGCCGGGAGGTGCCTTCTAGCTTCCAAAAGGTTCACGGACCTCTCGGATATCCAGTGACTGGTGCGATGACGACTGATAGTGCCACAAGCAGATGCTCCTGCGTCGTGCATAGCGGCCGAGATCCTATTCCACTGAAGTTCAGTGTCATTAGGACAAGACAGCGAGAGTTCGGTATGCAGTGCTTCTTGATAGGCTTGCCTGACAGAGGGCTGGGACAATTTCTCCGTTGCCAATCGGGGGAGACGCTTTGTGCGCCTTCTGGTAAAGTTCATGGAGAAACGACAGCGCACCAAGGCATGGTCAGAGTCGACACAGGTACTCCAGTATGAGCGGCAATCCAGAATGGAACCGCGCCACCTGTAACTTATGGCTATGTGGTCAATTTGGGTCCATCGCTGACCAGCTACAGGTGGACGCCAAGTGGCACTTCGGCGCCCACTGTGTCTAAAAGCAGTGCTAGTAAGAAACAACTGGTGCTCCGCACACAGTTGCAGCAGACGCTCGCCGTTGTCAGTCCGTTCGGCGTTAAGTCCATACTTACCACCCAGCTGAGCTTCTGAAGAGCTCAGACGCCCTACTTGTGCGTTCATATCCCCTGCAAGTACTACAATATCTGAACTAGTAGCACTGCGTAGCAGCGTGTTCAGTTCGTGATAGAAAGTGTCCTTGACTGCATTAGAACTGCAGTCCGTGGGAGCATAAGCAGAAAGCACAAACAAACAGCGTTTTGTTTTACTTCGCGAATTCACCTTAGCTGATGTAGTCAAACGGGCTGCACATAAACGGCTGTTCACCGGAATCCAATCAACCAACGATGACTCAGCCTTGGAGCTGAGAATGATACCTACACCAGCTTGACCCGTGAGTGCCGCATCGGCGTCTCCGGATGCGTGCAACCAATAACGAGAGGATAAGCCGGGTGCAGTCAATTCAATAACCCCGTTAGGGTCATTAATCCTAGTTTCGGACACACAACACACATCAACACCCAGTGTGTCTAAGGTGCGTGCGAGTGCAGCCTGCTGACCTGTTTGTCTTAGAGTGCGGACGTTGAATGTCGCCATGGTAATGGGACAGCGTGGCCTTATAAGGAACTTTTGCCGATAGGCGTCCGATAGGTGCGGTGGGATGGTGGCTGCATATGGTTCTACTCCAGTAGCACGTCGGTTGCTGTCAATTAAGCTGGGAATTATAGAAGGAAGGTTAGTAATGGGGGCCGGGATGGGAGTAAGAGAAAAAGGTGGAAAAGAAAGAAGGGAGGCGCCAGCAGTAGCATGCTTTCGCTTATCCGCCCTGCTGTATGCAGCAGATAAGGCGACCCTTGATAATCTGCGCGACGGCCGATGCAGGATGAAATTTATGTTTGAAGAAAATGTCATGGTTGTATGTGGGCTGGGATACTGCCAGGGCGCCCAGACCTAGACAGGAGAACGATTAGGGTCCTCATCCAAAGCCTTTGGCTCAAAAGCCTGTCCGCAAGGCAGCGGGGAGGTGGCAATGATTTAGTTTTACAGAAATGGACGCCATCCCATTTCAAACCCCCAACCTGGAGGACCAGGAGACTGAGTTTGTCTGACCTCTCACCATTGACCAACCTGGTAGGAGTAGCTCTCAAGATGCTCGGAGGCATCACCCAGTATAGCTCAATGGGTCAATGAGGTACGCAAACCGTCGCACCACGTTAAGGTCCAGTCTCGTTGCGACGGATTTGCGGATCAGACGGCACGATCACCAGCCACAGGTGATCAGGTTTCTGGGCAGAGCATTTGGCTCTTCAATTCATTATTATTCTTATTAAGCACCTGATCAATATACAATGGACAGCGCCACAACACATAGTTAACAACAACAAACAGGGTAAAACTGGTAGACAGTGGAAAGGTTTTCAAGCTTCAATTCAACCACACAATACAGCCCCCCTGTGTCACCTCTAGCCCCAACGAATGATGCTTGGTCTGTCTCTACATGCCTCCCAACAAGCAGAGACCCGAGATGCGATCCAATATTTGCAACGCCACAAAGCTCCCGGTTTCAACATCCTACCACTGGCTTAATTCAAAGATGGCCCCACAGCCCCATGTAACACCTCCACCCCCAATGCATGATGCTTGGCCTGTCTCCACAGCCTCCCCCCAAATGAAGCAGAGATTCGAATTGCAATCCAATCTTTGAAACGCCACAAAGCTCCGGGTCCCCACAACCTACCACCGGCTCCATTCAAAGATGATGGGAGTGTGTTTGTCAGCGAAATCCTATCGCTGTTCACGGAAGTTTGGACGGAGGAGAAGGTTCCGAACTCATGGGGAGAGTCGGTCATTGTTCCGACTCACAAGAAGAGCTCCCGCGCCGATTGCTGTAACTGCTGCGGAAGCTCGTTAGTTTCTGTCGAATCCAACATCTT